CTCATCTACCTAACCTAAATAACCCTTGTAACTTCTTCATGCCATTTAAAATGTTATGAAAAGTATACAAAAATATTTTAAATCCCTTTAAAAATATTTTTTAAAAGTCCCAAGCAGTTTTTTATTTTTTACTGAATACTTCACATATCAAGTAGTCTAGTGTGATTAAGAGTTGAAACTGCCCTGGACGGTGTGGCTCAATTGGTGGGAGCATCCTCTCCTACACAGAATGTGGTGAGTTTGGTTCCCAGTCAGGGCAACTACCCAGGCTTCAGGTTCCATCCTGGTCAGGGCACATGTGGGAGGCAACCCATCAATGTTTCTCTCTCACACTGATCGATGTTTTTTTCTCTCCCTTCATTCCTCTCTCTAAAATCAAATACATACATATACATATATTATTTTTTAAAAAATAGAAATCTGCACGGTTAACTGCCTAGGTTGAATCCATGCTTCACTATTAGGCAATCATTTAAATTATGTGCTTCAATATTCACATCTCTAAAATATGAATATTGTGCCCTAGCCGGTTTGGCTCAGTGGATAGAGTGTCAGTATGAGGATTGAAGGGTCCCAAGTTCGATTCCAGCCAAGGGCACATGCCCAGGTTGCGGGCTCGATCCCCAGTAGGGAGTGTGCAGGAGGCAGCCAATCAATGATTCTCTCTCATCATTGATGTTTCTAAGCTCTCTCTCCCTCTCCTTTCCTCATATGAATATTGTAATATTTACGTAAGGTTATGATGAAGAGTAAATAACACAAAGTTAACAGTGGTGAATACATGGTAAAATGTCCAGATTATTGCATTCAAAATAAAGGAATTCAGGTTCTACTTCATTTTTCCTTTCAAATAGCAAACCAATTATGTCTCAACAAGGGTTGTTAGAGAAATAACCAGTGACATATTTCAGCCTGCCTAACCTATTTTCTTCAAACTAAGTACATTTGCTAATATACACAAAGAAAACTGAAAAACCAGGGCAAGTAGCCTCAGGCATAGGGTCACTACTTTCTTCAAGAGATTAACTAACTATAAGTCTTCTAACTTGCACTTAGTCCCCATTATTAACCTTTCCCACAAGAGCCAGAAGGAAATTCAAAAGAATCAGATCTCCCTGTTCTCTTTAGAATTTCAACAGATAATCTAGATCTTAAACATGACCCAAAAAGGACCTGTATACTATGGTTAGTACTTGTCTACTTCCCAAATTTCATCTATCCTTTGCATTCTTTTTTTTTTTTGTAATATATTTTTATTGGTTTCAGAGAGGGAGAGGGAGATAGAAACATCAATGAGACAATCATTGTTCGGCTGTCTCCTGCATGCCCCCTACTGGGGATCAAGCCCACAACCCGGGCATGTGCCCTTGACAAGAATGGAACCCAGACCTTTCGGTATGCAGGCTGAGGCTCTATCCACTGAGCCAAACCAGCTAGGGCTTACTCTATGCATTCTTAGTGACTATTCTCCAGTAGTATTTGTAGTGGTTCTCAAACCCTCTGGCCCTTTAAATACAGTTCATGTTGTGACCCAACCATAAAACCGCTGCTTTATTAAGGCCTAGTTTCCAACCACTCCCAATTATCTTCTTTCAGATACGATAATCCATGTACAGATCTCAATTTCACTAGCATCAGGCTCATACTTCCACATTGTAAGTTTCCCCTACTACAGCGGTTCTCAACCTGTGGGTCGTGACCCCTTTTGGTGGTCGAACGATGCTTTTACAGGGGTAGCCTAAGACCATCCTGCATATCAGATATTTGCATTACAAATCATAACAGTAGCAACATTAGTTATTAAATAGCAACGAAAATAATTTTGGTTGGGTCACAATATGAGGAACTGTATTTAAAGGACCAGAAGGTTGAGAACCACTGCCCTACTATCTCACCCTGTTTTTTCATTTCATGGATTTAGATTGTGAAATTGCTATATGTTCACTTTATTTCTCTCAATCTATAATAATAAAAGTATAATATGCTAATTAGACCAGACGAAGCTGGGGCCAGAGGGAAGCCTGGGTCCCAGGTGCCAGGGGGAAGCCACTGCCGGCAGCCAGGGAAAGGAAGGCCTACTCTTGCTCAAATTTCGTCCATCAGGCCTCTAGTAGTCTACAATACCCAAGTCAGTATGTTTTGCCAATATCTATATGCCTAAGGGGGATTTTCATAATAATCACTCAAATGTTTAATAAAATCTCTACCTGAATGTTCTACAATCATCTCAAAGATCAATGTTTAAATAGCTTTCTCCTACTCTCAACCCCTAATCCTTTTGTTTAATGTTTATCTAACTATCCTCATCCCAGAAGCTAGAATCCTAGAGGTCACTCCAAATCCCTCACTCTTCATATCACAACCACCACTACATGCTCCTAAATTTACCTCTCCTCTCTAATAACATTGCTTTTGACCAGGTCAGGTCATTCTTATTCCTTGTAGTTTAATATCTTCCTTATCCTCTAAGCCATATTCACACTATCAGAATGACATTTCTAAGGTAAATCTGTCATTCCCCAGTTTAGAATCTTTCAATACTGCACCACTAGTTTCTGGATAAAATACAAACTCCTTGGCACAGCATTAAAATGTTATAATCTGGCCTCCTCTAAAATTCATTTCAATTCCCTTTCTCTTAGAAGCATTTCCTGACCACTTAATAATTAATAGGTACCCATTTTTGCATGCTACTTTAGGTTCTGTACTTAACCTCTAATCACATGACATATTCCCATTCATCTGTCTCCCTTCCTAGGCTGAGTCCTTGAAGAAGTATACCTTTTTCCTCAAAACCAGAACTTGATCCATAAAATAATGGATTTGTAAAAGGAATAAATTTAACTGAACCTATAGTGAACAGCAGCCATACAATGACAATGATACAGACCACCACAGTAGAAATAGATTTCATAGAATAGAGCATTAATAAAATTTGATCTTAGAGAAAAAAGCCTTCCATTCCTTTTCCAGATATCCTTAGGACATTAACTTTTTTCCATTCTGCTTTCCTTTAAGGCTACTTTCAGTGTTCACTGTAACTAGATTTTACCATTTCAGTACGACTAAGGGATTTATTCTAGTAACACAGCAGGGAACATGCCTTTAAAAATCATCCTTTTTGCCCCAGCTCAAAACTATTAAAGTTAGTAACCAAAATATTGCACTATTGTCGGTAAAATATTACAGGTTGCAAATTTTTTAACTTTTTGGCTATTTATATCCTTATTAATCTCATATTATTACTGTGAATAGAGCAGATTCATTCCTTCCTATCACCCTTGGGAACACACTTTTTTTCCCAACATCTAACTGGCCCACAAGTCATCATTGAAAAAGAAGTCAACCCTAGATTTTCTGATTTGGATACAAAGATTAAACAGATTTATTTCCCTTTTAAAGCTTAAAAAGCCTTCCTAGCCCTTTGTTTTTAAAAACCTTCCAGTGAGATAGCATTTTAATATTATAGCAAGCTTATGGTTTGATTCATGTTAAATTTTAATAAAAAGTCAATAGAATATAACACAAAATTGTTGTCACAAACCGAAGACTACTCCAAATGACAGAAAATTTTCACTAATTTGCAATAGTAAGAAAAATAACTGCTTTGTTGCTAATCATTAAAACAAGCCATTTTAGCTTGGCCCGGTAGCTCAGTTGGTTGGAGCATCGCCCAATCCACCAGGGTTATGGGAGCTTCCATCCCCAGTCAAGGCACATATAAGAAGCAACCAATGAATGCATAAATAAGTGGAAAACAAATCCATCAAATTGCTATTTCTCTCTCTCCTCTCTGAAAAATAATGTCTAATAAAAAAAGCCACCCTAGCTGGTTTGGCTCAGTGGATAAAGCTTTGGCCTGTGGACTGAAGGATGCCATGTTGGATTCTGGTCAAGGGCACATGCCCAGGATGCGGGCTCAGTCCCCAGGTTAAGGGGCGTGCAGGAGGCAGCTGATCAATGATTCTCTCTCATCGGATATTTCTCTCTCTTTCCTTCTCCCTTCCTCTCTGAAACCAATAAAAATTTATTTTTTAAAAAGCCACTTTATTTTAAAGTATATTTAATCTTCAGCTGCTTTTTTCAATTATCAAAAATTTTCAGTCAGCCTAAGTTAACTAGGTACTTCTAATTCCATTAGTTTACAAAAAATTTAAGTGGCCTCCCTTGGAAACATCTCTTGATACAAACAAAAAGATTAACCCTAACATTTCCAGAAGCTATCACCTACACCTCCATCAACTAAACTTAGACTGGTGTATTTCCTAGTCTTCACAATGAAACCAGTGGACCTCACACCTCTTACCATCACCCAGGAAGGGTGTGCATCTGTTCCGAAGGCCCCCCTGGCTCCAGGTCATCCTGGCTGCCGTTGCTCCAGGCTGGGCATCCATGTTGCTGCAGCTTGTGGTTTGTGAGGGGTAGTGTACAGGAAAAGCAGGATGGGATTTCAAGGGGAACAGGAGGAAGATGGCTTTCTGGGAAAATGCCATCATCATCATAGGTGTTAAATAGTACCACACACATTTTATTGCAGCACAGTTTAAAAATTTAACAAATGAAAGATTAAAAATAAAAAAAATAAAAATAAAAAAATTAAAAATACAGACGTCCAGAGATGCTCTAAAACAGTTAAGTTAAAGATCAGGAAAAATAAGGTCACAGACTTAACAGCCAGTTCTTTTGAGCTTGGGGGAAGGGATGAGGGCAAGGGTGGGGTTGGGAGAGAAAAGGTTTAGGTGATCAATCCACTTAAAAATGCTAATGCCTTCACTTTCTCTCCCAAGATGGAAAACTCCAAGTCAATTAGGAGGCAGGAGAAATTCTTATGAACATTCAGAAAAACTCGACTTTAATCCGGTTAAAAATCATCAGTCATTATCATCATTATCATCACCATCATAAGTATAATAATAATAAATAATAGTAACTAGTAACAACAATAAAAAGGAAATCAGCGGAAAGTCAGGAAAAATGTAAAAAAAAATGGAATAACTTACTGTAGCTGAAGATCAAAAAAATCTCACTGTAAAAAAACAAAAATAAAAATAGCCCAGATTAGAAAAACGGGAGGTGCAAAAATGTCAAGTCAATAAAGTTCATTTCTTTTCTTTCCAAAAGCAGTTTCCACAAAAACCGCAAGGGTAAAGTTCTCAGTAGCAGACAAGCAAAGCCCTTTCCACATCATCAATCAATCTTAAAAATACACGAGGAAATAGAGAGGTCAGTTCATGAGAGGCTAAAAGGCTCCTCCTCCTCTAACCCAACTGCTGCAGAAAAAATAGAAATAGAAATTTTAAAAATTACATCTTAAATCCAAGTCCCGTTTTTGGAAACAATTAAAAAAAAAACACCTGTGAATTTGCTGTAGTGCACACCAAGTTGCATCATTATGTTTAAAATGCTCTTTATAAAATCAGTTTTGGAATGGGAATGTGTGTGTTCTGGAAGGGTGGGGAAGGGAGGTTAAAAATCAAAGCTGAGCTCCAGTGAGTAGGGATGGGGTTCGCCTTGCTGCCCTGTGAAAGGAGAAGGGACAGATTGAGTCAGAGTTCCTCAGAAATGTTGTGCCCTAAACCCCCAAGACAGAAACATCTGTCCACTGCATCTAACACATTTTGGTAAAGCATAACATTCCACTGGGATGGGGAGAGCCTCTATAGAATCACTTCTACCAGTGATTGTCTTGACAATTCCTCAACATTAGTAGATAACTAGAATTATCAAAATAAGTGCATGTATTCCCTTAAGGGTCTCAAAAAAGGTGTTAAGTTCAAACATTCACCTTGATAACAGTTTGGGCAAGATATATATATATCTATCTATCTCAAGCCAACAGAGGTAAAGTGAGCAAATCTCAAGAAAGATTAATGAAGGAAAGCAAATTCATGGCTTTTTAAATTTTAAGTCCATGTAATTTTTCCTGTAATACAGACTGAAGGAGAATGGTCTACCATGAAGATACATAAGAGAGAAACATTGATTCTCAAAACCAATTAAGTGAACAAACCACAAGACCTAGTAAGTTCTACGGCAAGAAAAGATGCTTTAAACAAGGAACCCATTATTTATTCACTGACAGAACGAAAAGATGAAGGGAAAGATAATGGCTACTGAATATTTAGTGTCCTAAGACAGGTGAAAAATTATGGTCCTTAAGTTTCAGTGGTCTATATATAATCAGTTGTCAATAATTTATAAGCAAGTATACATAGCTAATTCAAGGAATCTTATATATAACAAACAAATAACATGACTGGCTGGCTATCTCATCAGCAAAAACAAGATCTGCAATTAGACTGTAGGTCTTTGAGTAAATAAGAATGGACTAGTAGTTGCCGAGACCGGCTTGGCTCGGTGGACAGAGCTTCGGCCTGCGCACTGAAGGGTCCCGGGTTCAATTCCGGTCAAGGGCATGTGCCTTGGTTGCGGGCATATCCCCAGTGCGAGATGTGCAGGAGGCGGCTGATCGGGGTTTCTCTCCCATCGATGTTTCTGACTATCTCTCTCCCTTCCTCTCTGTAAAAAATCAATGAAATATATTAAAAAAAAAAAAGAATGGACTAGTTGCATTCACATTTCAATATTCAGCCAGGTTTTATTCTCATTTCTAAATGTCAGTAACCTGAAAAATTTTAAACTGACTTTGAAAGTGTTTCATAAGTCAACTATGTATGAATGACTACAACAACAGCAGAAGTACAGTAATTCTAAAATTTAAACTAAATTTTTTTTAAGCAGACCAGTGTAGGCATGACATGTAAGTTACTGGTATACTTGTTTTGATGCGTTAAATTGTACAAATGCACAAACTACAGAAAAAGCTGTAGGAAAATGTACATCCTTTTAAATGTTACCTCCTTCGACTCAGTGTTTGGAAAGAATAGTCAATTTTTTTTTTTCTTAGAGTCATAGCCTGAATCTAGTACTTAAAATTTTCAGGATATGTTAACATAACTTTGTGGCTCATCTATAAACAAATCCTTTGCACGTGTCAAGACATAACCTTGCCCAGCCAGTGTGGCTCAATGGTTATGTACTGACCTATGAACTAGGTCAACATTCAATTCCAGGTTGGGGTACATGCCTGGATTGCAGGCTTAACCCCCAGTTGGGGGCCCTGAAGAAGGCAGCTGATCAATGATTCTCTCTCATCATTGATGTTTCTCTTTTCTCTCTCCCCCTCTCTCCCTTAACTCTCCGAAATCAATAAAAATATATTATTTAAAAAAAAAAAACTTAAAAAGCTGTTAATATAAGACATCTTTCAAAGAAGTTAAGATGTCTCCCAAGATGTTATAAATTAAGTAGCTATCACTCATTAAAAAAAACCACTATTTTAGCTAATTTCAACGCTTTGTACTTAGTAGTACAGCTAAATTATACTGTACTTTGACAATCCCGAGTGGTTTGGATCCCTTCTAAAGGGGTATTCTCAAAGGGAGGTCTGACAACTAGTATCACATGGCACTTATTAGGAATGCAAATGATGGGGCCCATTCCAGACTGACTTAATTATAAACTCTGGGGCTAGAGAGCCTAGCAATGTTTTAACTAGCCCTCTTGCTGATTCTGATGTCAGCTCATGTTTAGGGACTGTGAAGAGTTTAATGAGGAACCTCTATCCCCCTAGTTAAGATAAATTCTTTATAAACAAAGTGTCTTATCCTTCCAGTGTACTGACAACAGGTTTAAGCAGCAAGGCTTTGAATGTATTCCTGATATTATATAATATATATCCAAGAAAATTATAACTTATCATAGTAAATACACCAAGGAATTTAAAAAACAGTCCAATAGTATCCTTTTTCCCTTTATAGCCCCCACATTTTGAGTACCTTAGATAACACCAGCAGTTATGCTGTATCTAGTAGTTCTGGTTCTCACCAGTCAATTCTCTGCTAAATCTAATCATGTACAAAACCATAATCTTCCCTGATCCCAATGAGAATGAATGAGTATACATATTAAGTATGAGCATATACAAATTTGTCCCAAAAGATAACTACTAAAAAATTACTTGCCCTTGCCCGGCAGGCATGGCTCAGTGGTTGAGCATTGACCTATGAACCAGGAGGTCATGGTTCGATTCCTGGTCAGGGCACAGGCCTGGGTTGTGGGCTCCATCCCCAGTAGGGGGCGTGCAGGAGGCAGCCAATCAATGATTCTCATCATTGATGTTTCTATCCCTCTATCCTTCTCCCTTCCTCTATGAAATCAATAAAAACTTGAAAGAAAAATCACTTAGAAGACTGAAATACTTTCATTAACGGCAGTTAACATTAATGATATACAAAAAAACTTCTAATCGTAAAACTATTTCTGTATTTTTCAAAACTTCCAGAAATAAACGAGTTCTAGGAATCAGAAATCTAGCGATTTCTATTTTAATTTCTGATTAGATTTCAATTTTATTTCTATAACTCATCTATTACATATTTAACTAATATCTAAATAGTTTTAACTCATTTGCCCGACACAGGTAATAATAGCATTGGGGCAGGGGGTGTAAAATCCAGTTCTCTTTAACTCCTAGAACCTAGGAGTTAAGATTTCTTCAACTGTTACACTCCCCAGTTAACATCTCACAATTTCACCAGTTAAAATAATCTTTAAGATTTGAATAATTAGCTATTTTGGAGCTTATTCCTTGCTTATTTCTAAGAGAAACTCCATCCAAAACAAGGTTGGTCGCCTGCTATGTGAAACTCTCTAGAGACCTAATTACAAATATAAGCTATGTTTAAAGTCTCTACTGAAGGAATAGCAACCACCACCAAGCATTCCTGTGTCATCAGCATAGGAAACAAAAAGGTCAGGTCTGCAATTTAGTCACCCTTCTTAAACTCCTCCTCTCTAGCAAATATATAAATGTTCTAATGCCTACGTATTTGAAAAGATATCTAGAAACGTTCAGATATTAATTCTGTGGCCAAATCATTCCAGACTAACTCTAAGAATTGTTACCTTGGTACATTTTGACTTAACACATCCAGTGCCCTTCAATTAATTTCAACTCATCAGTAACTTCTTAAATATTAATTCCTGACATTCTTTATTTGCCAACATTTTTATTAGGTAAATGATTTCCTAAATTAAGCAATCACCGCCCTTAACTCATTTCTAACAATTCTGCAGTAATAAACTTGAGTTTTTAAGCCCGTGTATTAAATAATATACATATTTAGGCTTAAAAAAAATGTTTTTGATTCCTATTACATTATCCACAATGGTGAGGAATCAACAATTGCATGGGTATCTAGAATAATAGTGCTTTTACTTCCTATCAAGTAGGTTTCTTCAGGAATAAATTTACCTTGCAGTACTGGTTTATGCCATACTTACTAACGTTAGTTTGTGAGATTAACACATTATGAAAATTAAAATCAACTGAATCTTACACAACAATAAATAGCAATTTGGTTTTTTTATATCTTTATTGTTGAAAGTGTGCCCCCCACCCTTTCCCCTAATAGACCCCTCCTAGCCTGCCTTACCCCCTAAATAGCGATTTCTTGGATAAGGCAATGTGATACTACTTAGAAACTTCTGCTATTTTTATAAATTTAGAAAAAAAAATAATAATAAATTTAGAAAAAAATTTTAATAAAGGTCAGGACGTGGCAAATAGTAGGCACATTGAAATTTGCTTAATAAAAAAGTACGTAGTTATGAATCTTGCCAGTGTAGATTGTCTGGAAAACTAATGCCAGAATATCCTGAAAATTAGACTTGATCATCTGGGAACATTGTATTAGTAACAAATGCAATTCTCCTAAATATTTTTCCCAAGTGCAGTCTGGGAAATTCCAGTTACTGCTAGTGGTTGCTGTAATTAGGTTCTTGTAAACATTCAAACTCAGTACTTAGTGCCTATTATTCCTATAGCTAACCTAGCGGTTAAATTCCTTACTATTTCCGTTCTTGATTCAATATAACCCTGGCAACCATCATTCTTATACCTCTATTTCTTTCCAAGAAAGACAGTAATACCTACCTCAAGGAAAATTCCACTAACTTATATATATTTCAAGTGATTTATGACCTGCAGATAAAAAGTCAGCTTTAATTAGTAGTTAATATATGAGATTACAAGCTTTAAAAAAAAATAAGTGAAAATAAATACTTCGCGGTCCATCCTTTTCTCAGAGAGGTAAAATAAAAGTAATCTATAAAATACTAAACCCACTGTTATAACATTTATTATTCTTATGCCCTGCGGCATGATCCAGGATTGAGAGACACGCGGTAAAATGTCTACTTGGTAATCCTTCCCTCAAACCCCGCCCAATTTTTAAATTTAACAAGAGGCACCAGCACTGTATTAACTTCAACTATATGAACGAGCATGTCGATCTTCCCTTTCATGATCCCTCTTGGAGACCTCATGGTCGTAAAAAAATGAAAGGAAAGCAGCCGTTAACCCAGAAAGAGAACGAAAAAAGGACACTTCCCCTGCTGATCGTGGCCTAGAGGACACCAGGTTAAATCTACACAAGGGCTGAGGCCTACAAAACTCTCTCCCGCACAGGACCTAAACCCCGACCGCCAAGAGAATAAATGGGGGCCTAGTTACCGAGAAAAGGGTTGCCTCGTCTTCTCTCCCACATCCCCACGCGCTCACAGGGGAACCCAGCGCCTCCCCCTGCATCTATCTCCTCCACTTACCTGGTGGGAAAAGGGAGAAGAGATTCGATTCTGAATCTCCTACTCCCGGGTTCTACGTGGAGAAGCCGGCTACCGCTCGAGGTCAGCAACGCGGCCGCAACCGCTCAGCCTTCGTCTCTTCACAAAATGGCCCCCGAGTCTCCTCTGCCGCCGAGGCGAAGGCCTAGCCCCCGCCCCACTACTGAGACTCTTCCCATTGGCTGCGACTTCACAATTCTTTTCAATCACAATAAGCAGTGGGTTAGACTAAGCAAAAGAATTTCCACATGCGTGAGAGGAACTAGTTTGTAACTGGTTATTTTTCCTGTCATTCATCTCCTGAGAAATGCTTATTGGCCACTCTAGCTGAGGAAGCGCTGGGTGGAAACTCGCCTTTGTATCGCGTACTGCTTCACATCCGGGTATCCGGGAGGTCTGATTGGCGGCCGCCCTACCCTATCTCTGCTCCTCAGAGCGCCTAATGAAAGGACCGCCCACATCTTGGAATTCCCGCTGCGCCAGGGCGGGGAGGGAGGAAGGGATTTCCGCTGGTAGCGGGCTCTGGGAGCATCTGCCCTAGCCTCGGGCCTAGGAATAAGGAGAAGCGTCAAGTGGATCATCCAGCGTTCTGTGTGGATAAAGAAATGAGTTATTTGGGAGCGAGGAGGGAGCCATGAAGACTCAGCCTTGCGGTTTTTCCAACCTCAGATTCCTTCTCAGCTCCAGACTGGAATGTCAGTTCCCTCCGACAATTTCACTTGTCTTAGCCTGTCCAGCCCATCCTCAGACAACCCTTATCTCACCCAGTCCAAATAACTTCCTTGTTACTCTCTATCACAAAAATCAAGGAAGTCTAAAATGCAAGTCCTGTAATTCCCATTGCCTGACCCCGTCATCTCACTAATACCCTACCCGTGCCAACCAAATTGGCCTACCCCATTGATTTCCCCCTTGCCCATCCTAATCTGGGCCCTAGTTTACCTTCATCCTAAAATGGCCCGTCTCCAACCTATTACACTTCATTTTAGACAAAAGGTGGGGAAGCAGCCCTGACTGGTTTGGCTCAGTGGATATAGCGTAGGCCTGTGGACTGAAGGGTCCCAGGTTCCATTCCAGTCAAGGGCATGTACCTGGGTTGTGGGCATGTACCTGAAACAGCTGATCGATGTTTCTCTCTCATTGATGTTTCTAGCTCTCTATCCCTCTCTGTAAAAAGTCAATAAGATATATATTTTTTAAAATGTGGATGCGGGTTAAAGATGCGGATTAACTGATGGATTTTTTTTTTTAAGGTGGAGAAGCAATCCCCTCTGTTTATAGTATAACAGTTGTGCAGGTGGCGGCCCAGCTCTACTAATGTTATGGGTTCACTTCAGTGAGATAGACCACCGACTCAGAATTTAAATTTAAGAGCCTTTATTAAGATGGCCAGCTGACCACAGTCACAGCACCCTGCCGAAGCAAAGGCTGAACTGCAGCGCAGACTACAGGAGTTACATTTTATTATTAAATTTTGTGGAGGCCCAGGGAAAAATGTGTCTTTCAAATTCTGGGTCCCCAATATGGAGAAACTCTCTTTATTTACACTTTTTCCAGTCCTTTGTTCACTTACCCAATCAGCATTAATTGATCAAATACAGTAAGCAAGGCTTGGGAGATATTATGAAGATTAATACACAGTCCTTGCCCTCAAGCAACTCAATTTAAGAAAAAAGATGGACATCTTTAAAAAATGACTGTAAGGTAGTTTTTAATCATGTTTAATAAATACAATAGCCTGAGAATACAATTAATTGAACTGAGACAAGATAAAAAATCTTCAATGAGGAGATTTTTTGAAGCTCAAAGTATATTTTAAGCCGAAACCGGTTTGGCTCAGTGGATAGAGCGTCAGCCTGCAGACTGAAAGGTCCTAGGTTCGATTCCGGTCGGGGGCATGTACCTTGGTTGCAGGCACATCCCCATTAGGAGATGTGCAGGAGGCAGCTGATTGATGTTTCTCTCTCATCGATGTTTCAAACTATCCCTCTCCCTTCCTCTCTGTAAAAAATCAATAAAATATATTTTAAAAAAAAAAAGTATATTTTAAGCTTAGAGAATAGCTTATATACAAAACAAGATAGATAAAACACCATGGTAAATTCAAAATTTTTAATTAATTTAATAAGGCTGGAATGTATTGTGCATGTAAGGAATTGTAGAAAATGTCTGTCAGTTCTTAAAGAGCCACATTTGCACTGCTCTAGAATTTGGACTTTATTCCATGCAATGGGCACTCATTAAAAACTTGTAAGAAAAGGTAAAATAAAAGGACTCCTTATGGTTAACTGGGCCCAAATTTATAATCAAGGTCTAGCAGCTAGCTGTTGTTTATATGGGGCCTTTCATGCACACTGCATTTCAGGAAAAAACCACAAACTAGGCTGCCAAGCTTCCTGCACTGTGTTCCTGCCATCTGAGCTGAGCCTTATAAAATAGCTCCTGGTATTACATTTGGACCCATGAGACTCAGACCTTCTCGTTCCAATTGGAGCTATGCAGTTATACCCTCATTTTCATCTTTATAGACTAATCTGAGCAGCTCAATAATGTCACTCAGAATGGGCAATTCTGGCCCTAACTGGTTTGGCTCAGTGGATAGAGCATCGGCCTGCGGACTGGGGGGTCCCAGGTTCAATTCCAGTCAAAGGCATGTACCTTGGTTTTGGGCACATCCCCAGTAGGGGGTGTGCAGGAGGCAGCTGATTGATGTTTCTCTCTCATCGATGTTTCTAACTCTCTACCCCTCTCCCTTCCTCTCTCTAAAAAAATCAATAAAATATATTTTTTAAAAAAGAATGGGCAATTCTGACCAATCACAACAGTGCTATTGGGACCAATCAAACAGTTTGGACTTGGAGCCCTCATTTGCATAGAAATGTGCCAATGGGACTACGGGAAGGAACTTCTCTCTATGTAAGCCAGCTTCCCCTCAGTCCAGTAGAACACACTTTCAGCGGCATTTCCTCTGCTTGGACTGTAACAGGTGCTGTAACACCCCAGCTGCTTCACTTGAATAAAGTCTCTCTTCACTGCACCCCAAATTTGGGTGTCCTGTTGGCATTGGATTGATGACAGTGAACTTGATTGACAACCTTTTTCAGTTGTGTGCATTTCTCTATTGTTTCAATTTTTGCCACATGCATGTATGTATCGCTTTAGGCTACTTTATTTCCTTTTAACTATATGTGTTTATTGATTTGAGAGAGAGAGAGAAATCAATGAGAAGTGTGGGAAACCACCTATTGTCTTCACTAGCAGAGAGGTGTAGACAGAGAACCTGGAAGGCTGGTGAGCTTTGAAGCCCTAGCCAAGGTCAGAGCTGTGCACCACCTCTTTTAATCCAGGTAATGGTAGCTGAAGCAACCTCCCCACCTTTAATCATGTAAATCCTTATTGATAAGAATAAATCTCTGTGTCACTGGAACCTCCCTGCCTAAGGGCTATACTATGGGTGGATCCTGAACCAGATAAAAGGTTGGTGCAGCCTGAGACCAGGGGAAGTCTTTCCTCTTGAATTGGACTTACCCGCCTGGCCCCCCAATATTTCCAAGTTATCTCTTGTCTTTTCTCTTGCATTTGTGTGAGGCTCCTCTTCCAGATCCTGAACCCTGAACCACGCGACACGTGGAGGGAAACATTTACAACAGAGAAGGAAATATTGGTCAGTCATTTTTCATACGCCTCCTACTGGGGATCGAGCCCATAACCCAGGAATGTGCCCCAACTGGGAATCAAATTAAGGGCCTTTTGGTTCATGGGTTGGTGCTCAACCACTGAGCCACACTGGACAGGTGCTTTAGTCTACTTTAAAAGGAAAAATGAAAAGCATGTAAGAAAGAATATACTAAAATATTAATAATGGTTCTCTCCTGGTAGGGAAATTACACGTGCTTTTTTGTGTATGTGCTTTTCTTTATTTTTCAAATTGTCAACTTTGAACAAGTAATCAAAGGGAATGCTTAAAGCTCAGCTCAATTACCATATTGCAGTTCGTTTAAAAGTACCTCATAGCACTGTGGTTAACTTTACACTCAGCATTACCCCCTCCTGGGTAAGTTTTTTGATGGAAGAGTTTAATTCCTATTCCTCTCAGTGTTCTCCCTGCTTATTACCTATTACAGTGTCCCAGCATCTTAAACAGAGTGTAATTTGTATTAAATTAATCATTAACTTTTACTTGTATGGGAAATTACTATTGTCTCAGAACAGACTGGTCGACTATCTTTTCCTTATTATATATTGCACTAAAGGCCTGGTGCACGAAACTCGTGCATGGGAGGAGGGGTTTCCTCAGCCTGGCCTGCACCCTCTCCAATCTGGGACCCCTCAGGGAATGTCCAACTGCCAGTTTAGGCCAATCCCTATCGGGACTAAACCAGCAGTCAGACATCCCTCTCACAATCCGGGACTGCTGGCTCCTAACTGCTTGCCTGCCTGCTGGCCTGATCAATCCCTAACTACTCTCCTGCTGGCCTGATTGCCTCCTTACTGCTCCCCTGCCAGCCTGATCACTCCCTAACTGCTCCCCTGCTGGCCTGATTGCCCCTAACCACCTCTGCCTCGGCCTCCACCACCAAGACTTTGTCTGGAAAGAAGTCCGGATGGTCATTTGGTCTAATTAGCATATTATGCTTTTATTAGTGTAGATTAGTATAGATATAGCACTTACTCAGAAGGACCCAGAGCATGTGAGGTTGACATATAATTAATATAATTCTTGACTTAAGTAAACAACAATTGCTGGGGTCCAATCCCACCAGGTCCAGGGGTCCCCAAAGGTGTGGACGGAGTCGGCGAAGAATGAATGACATGGAGGCTGCGTTCAGTTGATCATCATGGCCGGGTTCTCTTGTCCGAGTCTCCAGCCAAGTTCTAGCCAGGTTCTCCAGCCAGGTTCTCCCACCAGGTTCTGTCTTTATTCTCCTGTTACATCTGTATTTATACCAGTTTATTTTAATCCTATCCATTCCTATTCCAAAGGTTAGGGCATTTGAGGGGTTTTATTCCCTCCCTAACTTCAGGGGAAAATCCCTACCTGGGGAAACAACCTTTCTCAGAGAGGTGACCTTGGTTAAAACACATAGTGCCAAGAAGGTGAGCAAACATATTAAGAACAGTATGCCATATATGCCAGGT